GCATACAAAACTGTCTAACAACTCCCACTTGCACTTAGGTCCAATCTGGTACAAGCTAGAGTCCCATGCTTTCCATGTGTTTCTCAAACACTTTCTGTATGAGTGGCTTAGTCAATGGGTTGGCCACATTATCCGCTGATGCTACCCTCTGAATCAGGACGTCCCTCTGCCAACAATCTCCCGCAATACATGGTATTTCCTCTCAATGTGCTTTGACTTCGAGTGGGCTCGAGGCTCCTTAGCCTGGGCGATTGCTCCATTGTTGTCACACAACAACGGGATGGGTGATGTGTTGGACAGAACCACTCCTAATTCGTGAATGAACTTTTTCATCCACACGGCTTCCTCGACAGCTTCACTTGTGGCAATGTACTTGGCTTCGGTCGTGGAGTCTGCCGTGGACCCCTGTTTGCTGCTTTTCCAGCAAACAGCACACGATCCTATCGTGAAAGCATACCCAGATGTAGACTTTCTATCACCTGGATTCGACTGGAAATCAACATCAGTATACCCTAGAATTTGTAGTGAACTACCATCGAATACCAGACAAAACTCTTTTGTCCTTCGAAGGTATTTGAGTATGTTTTTCATAGCAGTCCAATGCTCCTGCCCTAGGTTGGCCGAAACCTGCTTACCACACTCACCGCCTGAGCAATGTCAGGGCGAGTGCACAGCATGACATACATGATGCTCCCTACGGCTAAGGCATAGGGAACGTCTTTCATGCCCTCAATCTCCTCAGAAGTCTTAGGAGACATCTTCTTGGAGAGAGTGACTTTGTGCCTGAAAGGAACGTTTCCTTTCTTAGAGTTCTCCATGTTGTACCTTTTGACAATTTTCTCAATGTAAGCAGCCTGGGATAATCCAATTATCTGCTTCAATCTATCTCTATAAAGTCGAAGATCCAATATATAGGATGCTTCTCCAAGATCTTTCATGGAGAATTACTGCGAAAGTCACACCTTGACCGAAGTCAACATKCCTACATCATTCCCAATGAGTAGGATATCGTCCACATACAACACCGAGAAGGTGACCTTATCCCCACTGAAGTTCCTGTAAACATAGGGCACATCCGGATTCTGCTCAAAGTCAAACGATTTGACGGCAGAGTCAAAATAGATGTTCCAACTCCTAGAAGCCTGCTTAAGTCCATATATGGATCTATTAAGTTTACATACCATGTGTTCCTGACCAGCAACAATGAAGCCTTGTGGCTGCTGCATGTAGATATCTTCACTAAGATCTCTATTTAGGAATGCGGTTTTGACATCCATCAGCCAAATTTCATAGTCAAGGTATGCTGCTACAGCTAGCAGGATCCTAATGGATTTAAGCATGGCCACGGGCGAAAAGGTCTCATAGTCGATGCCTTCTTTCTGAGTATACCCTTTTTCCACCAAACGAGCTTTAAAGGTCTCAACCTTGCCATCGGGGCCCTTCTTCCTCTTRTAGATCCATTTGCAACCAATTGCTTTTACCCCGGAGGGTGGATCTACTAGAGTCCAAACTCCATTGGCCTCCATCGAGTCCATCTTAGCTCTCATGGCCTCCACCCACTTCTGAGAATCTATGTCCAACATAGCTTCCGCGTAAGTCACGAGATCCTCCTCACTAGTCAAGGCTTCCACTAGGTAACTATCTTGGTCATAACCATAATGGACTGGTGGCCTGGATACCCAGGTGGATCTTCTAGGTTGGTCACTACCTGGAACTTGTGGGACACCTCCCACTGCTCCTGAGCTCTCCTCATCAAGAACTATTTCCTGAYGATGGGTGTCCAGGATGTAATTAGTCTCTAAGAACTGGGCATTTCGACTACATAACACTTTATGCTCACTTGGGTTATAAAATAGATAACCCACTGAGTCCTTTAGGTAGCTTACAAATAGGCAACGACTGGTCTTGGATTCCAACTTGTCCGTACTCGTTCTTTTAACGTGCGCAGGACAACCCCAAATCTTCAAGTGTCTGACACTTGGTTTCTTTCCGGTCCAAAGTTTGTATGGAGTTTTTGGAACTGATTTGGTTGGAACTTGATTCAGCACGTAAATAGCAGTCTCTAATGCATGTCCCCAAAAGGATGTGGGTAATTCCGAGCGTGTGAGGAGTGACCGGACCATGTCTAACAATGTCATATTCCTCCTCTCTAAAACACCGTTAAGCTGTGGTGTTGCAGGAGGAGCTAACTGTGATATTATCCCGTTGGCCTTCAAGTAGTCTCTGAATTCGTCAAAGAGATACTCACCACCTCGATCTGATCGAATCGCCTTAATTTCTCTCCCTAACTATTTCCCGACTTCTTGTCTGAACTCCTTGAACTTTTCAAAGGATTCGGACTTCTATCTCATTAGGTACACGTAACCATATCGTGA